CTCAAAAAGTGTTATGTAAGCAAGTAAAAGATGTCTGTCATTGGAATCTACACAAAATGAATAACTTACCATGCACGCAGAAGTGCAAATGGAGCCCTTTTAATTAGTTCTATTATAGTTTTGATAGGGAAAAATGAATCCAGAACAAACTATCTCCAGTAACTCAGTAAGAATACTTTCAATAAGAACACACTGTATGGGGCAGCGACTAGAGATGGCAGCATACACACAGACATAAGCTTTGAACATGTAAAATTTGTTTAAATGCACGTTGGTTTCCTTTTTTTTTTAACCAAGAATATTATTTTTCAGTTGATAAGCTCCCCCATGGCTTCAGGGGACAGCAACTGGGCCAGTGTTATACAAGAAACAGAGAGGGGAATAAGGATGAAATAATACAGGGGTGAAATCCTCCTCATCCTAAGCAAACGTGTTCAGCATGGCTGGCTAGAAGACTACTCACACCTGACTTCATCATGGAAACAAGAAACATTCCCATCTGCCAACAAAGTAATTATGCCACAGCAGACAAGTATTTCAACATTTTGGTGACAACAAGACCTAAGTTGCCAATTATCTCTTGAGGCTTTAAAAAGGGTTTCCACACTCGTATGCTATGCAATTCTAGAGATTATGTTAATTTGACCTAATTTTTTTCAGCTACAAAACCTCTTAACTACCAAAAACCAGAAGTAAGTTTATGCAGCTTTCTACTGTTTGCTTTTGAAGCTTCAATGACCAACAATAGTTAGTAACTAGATTAATCAATGCAGGCCAGAAGTAGGAATTAATTTCGCTATCCATTTGTCAGACTTGGCTATCAAGTTACATTTAGCAGATTGCCCGGTCCGGTCTCTGCAGAAACTCAGATTGAAAATGTGCTGTTCTACAAACTTTAATCTGGGGCAGGAGGAGCAAATGTTAAATTCCACTACTGCAACCTTCAGAATGAGATAAATACATATATATCAAACACACAGTAGCTTCCATCAAAGACAGGGATTTTCTAAAGTGGGTCTGGTAGCAATTTTGGTTCAAAAACTGCCCTAGTGCTAATTCATTCATTAGTACTCCCGAGATCAAGAGGTTAAAGTGGTTGTGAGCTTTCTTCAGATCATAAAGCCAGGAGGTTCCATAGTGGAACATTCTGAAAACAGATACCCAGGCCATAGAGTTGGACATGCCCTTAACTAGAGCCAATATGAAAAAACTACAAGCTGCTACTAGGAAACTCAAATCAAACAACAGCTTCTCTCCTAACTTGGCTGCATTCACACTGACAAGTTGCACCAGATTTGATGACAAGGATAATGACAAAGCATAAACAGCACTCAAACACTATTTTGTGAAAGTCAGCATAGAATCAGCCTTTTCATGACTATTAAAAAGGTAAAAATCTATACTGGACCATCCATTTTACTGAACTACAGATGCAACCATGCCACTTGGTTAGCAAACACAGAAAACAAATTACACGTTTATACACAAAGAAGCGAGACTAAGTTGTTCTGAGTTGTTCTTTTAAGGAAAAAGCACACTGAACTTGTGGGCAGAACATGTGAAGCAACACACCAAGAAGATCCAGTGTTAACTCAGCGTAAGGAAAGAGAACACAAATTCCTCTTACAGCTGCTTATTAACAAACCTTCTTCCTATGAAGTACAAGCAGTAACTGCTGGTATCAGTGAAAAATAGTACTTTTTCATTGCATTTCTGTCCTCCTCAGCAGTTCAAAGCCAATACAGAAACACATCAGGCAGGAGGAGGAATCCTGCCTATGCTTTATCAACAGGGTAGTAACAAGCTTGGCATTGTAGATTCTCCATCACTGAGAGAAGAGGCATGAGAAACGCAGTCTGGCCACACACTCCTGATTCCACCATTTTGCTTGTGAAGGAAATAAAGTCAGTGAACCTTTGTACACGCCTGTAATCATTTTTTTAAATTTATTCATACTTCCATATATTGCAACCATCTCAGAAACTGATCCTCTATTCAAGGAAACAGCTCATTCTGATGGAAAATTATTGAAGAGAAATAGCTGGAAAAAAATCACGCCAGAAGACCCTCAATTCCTGAAAGACCTTCATCAGCACGAGGTCAATTCTTCTCAGTAGCCAGAACCCACTAAGCTCAGTGGGATAAAAAGTGAGGAGCAGACATTTCACCTCAACGAACATAAGTGTCCTGGTGTTTGCTCACTGGGAATGATGAGATGGTGATAACTCACCCACTGCATGTGGGAATGTCATGTCGATAACTCCCACACAGTAAGGGAACCCTGTGATCCTCACATGTCTCTCAAGAAGCCCTAAGGAGCTAAATTTATATTACTAGGGTTAAGGTTTGAACGTTGGGAGCATAAAGGGAGACAGGCTAGAGAGGGGAGGGAAGGAGAAATTGCTTGAAGGGAGATAAAAACTGAGTTTCCTAACATCCTAAGGAAGAGTCAGCAGTGCTCTGGTGCACTGAGGAGAGTCATCAACAGAGGGGATAGGGGAAAAAAGCCTGCATGAAGATGATGAAACTGGAAAGATCTACCCATACCTGTCCACGTTCAAAGCAAACTTTTGTAGGAGGACTTTGAAAGTAGTTTCTTACAGCTAGAAGTACCGACTCAGAAGCACCCTACTTTAATTATGAGGGCGTTGAGCCAGCTTCCTGGATAGTTAAAGGACGCCACTGACACTAATCAGCATGGCAGAAACACTGCCAGGCCCAGGATCAAAAGCAAGCCACACAAACATAATGGTTGAAATATAATTACATTTTAAATCAGCTCAGAAGGAGATCTTGGTGACAGTAATTTCTGGTTTCAGGAAGAATCCACCTCCCCTTATTTTTAATATGAAGAAGCTAGAAAGCTACTGTGCAGAGAGGCTAGAGGCTACTTAAAATTCATAAACAAATTGCAATGATTGCAGCAGTAGTGCAAACAACAATACTGCTATTTATTATTAACAGCTACTGCTTCAGAGTTTGAAATAGCAGGCGAGTATAGTATGCACATTTAAAGGAAGTACGAGGGTGAGCCCTAAAACGACATGCTGATAACAGTTTAGTTCCAGGGAAAAGGATAATCACTAATGGTAGCGGGCACTGCCATGGACACAATGGGGTCAAACAAGCAGAACGACAATTCTTCCTTCAGTTTTCTATGATTCACTGACGGTATCAATAAATTATTGTAAAACAAAAGAAAATTGTGCATGTTCGTTTACCCTGAGGCATACCGGACCAAGTTTCTCTGCAAAAAGCTCTTAAGGAGACTTTGAAACAGTAAGGTGAAAGCTTAAAACCTATTCTGAAACAAAAACTGGTTAAGAGATTAAAAACAGAGAAGTGAAATAAAATGATCACAACACAAAATAGGAAAACTTTCACTGTAGAGTGCCCCAAGTATCAGAACTTGGGTGCCTGGAGTTCAATATATTAATGACCACCTGGAAAGAGGAAGACAGAAAATGGCAAAATATGGACAACACAATGGTGGATGGAAGACAGTACACAAAGTGCATATTAAGGCACATTGGAAGAAAAGACTTCAACTGCTTGTCCATGCTAGTAGAACCTGATCTGGTTGTAAGTCTCAGAAGGAAAAAAGCCACACAACACCCCAAATAGGACAGTTAGAATTAGCTGAGTGAAGTCATAAAACCAAATAAAATGTGACCTATTTATAAACGGAATGAGTGTACGGCAACAAATAAACATTATGCCATTAGATATTCAATGGTCCATTCACACCTTCAGTTTGTCACACCTCTACCTCAAGGAGGGGGAGAAAAAAAAAAAAAAAAGCAAAAGCAGCATTTGAAATAGAAAAGACCAGAAAATGACAATGAAAATGATCAGAGAGAAATCAGAAAAGCCTTCCTTATGAGAGGGTAGAGTGTCAGGTCTAGCGAGGAAATATGATGGATGTGCATAAAATAGTAAGAAGTGTCTCATGATCAGCTGGGTGTTTTTATTCATCTTTTCTTAGAATATAGGGGAAACTCAAAATTCTAAAAGCAAACGCTTCAAAAATGGTCATATTATTGAATCAAAAAAGATCTATAAAATGACTGGTGGAATTCATTTTTCTAGGAGTGAGGTAGACAGCTTATTGCAGTAATTCAGAAAAAGACCAAACATCTACGTATGAGAATAAGCATCTGCAGTCATAGTAGGTGGAGTAAATTACTAAAGACCAAACTTCATGCTTCCAAGTATAAATTGCTCAGAAATTCTCAACTGATGGGGTTGAGAATGAAATTTCTGACCCACTCCCTAGATTAAATGAGTTTTAAGGCTGTTGATTTCCTTCATTTGAAAGTACCCCATATTCGCCACCAGTAACTGTATTAATAGCTTTTTCTGACATGGCAATGTCCATGTTTCAGAAATACCCGGAGTCAGGACGATCCAACTTGTTGAACTGCCAGATTAGGGCTCATGCAGCACAGCAGGTGCACTTGAGAAAAAAATTCAACTGATTTGTTCGTTGTTTTTCCCCAGGCTTCAAGCTTTGCTTATACACATAAAAGACAATATGCATTCAGGACATTTCCAATGGTTATGAAGGTACCGTACCTGTGATGGTGGTAGGGATGGTGGTGGTAGTGGTGGTGGTTGTTGTGGGAGGAGGGATAGTTGTGGGGGGATCTGGATAAAATATAAAAAGGAAAATAATAAAAAAGCAAATTAAGAAAAAACAAGCAGAACACAACAGTGATCAATAACGATCAGAGAAAAACAAGGACACTAAGAAGCAGCACGGCTGTTGGAAGCCTCTCCTCCTCTAAAACCAGTTGGTGACTTTCCAGCTGGCTTTAAAGACCAAGGGCCAGATCCTCAGCAGCTGTAAATTGTTTTAGCTCAATTCACATCCAGGGAGCTCTGCACAGACTTACTTGAGCTAGAGAATCTGGCCCAGAAACTCTCCCCCTTTTGCCTTCTACAATGCTTAAAAAAAAAACCCAACATAAATAAAACCCAGCACAAATTAGTCAATGCGTGTGACAAAGAGAGAAAGAGAGAGAGATGGAATGGGAGAGCCATAAGAAAAACTGCACGCTTTTCATGACAAAAAACTAAAAACAAAAAACCCAGGAGTTTACCATGTACACAGACAGACAAATGTCCTTTGTTGCTTTTCTACAAATACATTTGAAAATCCAGGTGGGAGGTTTGTGTGAGGGGCCTTGTTGTGCTTAGCAGACTAAACGTCAACAGCACATGAATACATCTCACTTTTTCCAAGGCTGTTAACTTTACACTATTCTTCCTCAACAAAAAGCTACTTCTAAAATAGTAAAAAATAAAAAGAAGTGAGAATGTCGTTACTAAGTATTAATTTCAAGGCATGGACAATTTCACCATGATCTTTTTATAAAAAACGAAGCCAATATTTTTCTGACAATTTTAACATGGTTGCTTTTGTTAATAGAGCATCCTTAATGTAGAACACAGATACTGAGATATTTCTCTTTGTAACTAGTAACTATTTCTACAGAAGACTTGACCTGCTAAAACTGATAAACATTGCCACTCTTTACAGTATTTCTATTATGTACAAGGGCACATCCTCATCAAAACTACTGAGCAGGAGAAGGTAGCTATGACAAGATGTAAAAGAAAACATATATATCAGTGTCCAAATGATCAAACTGAATGCGTTAAGTAATCAGGAAGACTTTGAACTAAGGATTCCTTCTGCAATAATAGATCATGAAACAGTTCTTAGGCTTTTGATTTTAAATTTCCTCTAAAGCACGTCAACTTTTCATCACTAACACATCTGCTCCTCTTTTATCTCCAAGTGAGCTCTCAGATTTCCTAATTAATACATCTGAACTTGAAATACCTGCTGCACCTTTGTGTTCCATACAGCTTCCTGAAAGTCAGAAAGACTACCTTCCAGTTTGCTTCACTGTGAGGGCAACTAACAGAAAGCGGTCGTTTATGAGCAGTGCCGTTTTGGCCTTCTACATTCAAAATAGCTGAGTCCCTGTAGGCATGATAAGAACCTCCTGGTTACTTTTTTTGCCCAGGGCTAGACTGACAAGATACTGCAGGGTCTCCTTACTAGCAGTGGAAAATGGAACAACTTAAGTGCAGGAAGAAAGACCGTGTCCTTGTCTACATCCATTGGCATGGTGAAAACTCAGCTCACTTCCAAACCGTATTGGGGAAAATGCTATTCAGCAGACTATACATTGGTAATAGCAAAAAATGATTGTGACTGTGTGCTAATTGTGTTAGAATATGCATCTGCCTGCTCCCACTGGGAGGAAAAGTGTGAAATGACTTTTAAAAAAAAGTATGTTTTTGGTTCATGACAGTGTGATTAGACATCCTTATACCATGTGTGCAACAGAGGAATGCGTGTTAAGCACAGATCAGCAGCAGTTATTTTGCAAGCCCTGGCTGCTGGAAATCATTTGCACTTAATACTATTTAACTGAAGAAGTATTAGTTTCATATGGAGGCTAGTCAACCCTGTGCTCCTCATGGAGAGGTGCCAGACCCCAAAGGCTCTACTGTAGTTACCATTACTCCATTGCAACACCTTGGGTGTTGAGAGGCCATATGCATAATTCCCCCCCCCCCCCCCCCCCCCCCCCCAATTAATTCGATGTGGGTGGAGAGCCCTGCACTGACAACTGATAAGTAGTAGTCCTATCTACAGATCAAGTAGAGGGGGAGCATCTAGACACGTCCTCCCATTAATTTTCACACTATCCCTATGGAGACATTTCAGCAGGGATACAGGTTGCACTGCCTACGTAATATTCCTTGTCCTCTGGTTGGGAGAGGTGCCAAACTTAGTAAAGGATGGAGAAGTAAATGCTTCCCATTGACAAGTTTGTCAGCTCATTTCCACTCAGGGTGGCATTTATTTTCCTTCAGATAACTTGAGTTAGACTCTGTACCCAAGTACTTCAAGATGATAACCACAACCCAACCACTTCCACTAGACCAACTACTCTGATGTTGGGTTTTAAATTCAGGGTTAAAAGAAGCCCTTATGTTGTTCAGAGGGCTGAATCCTAGTGGGACACACCTAATCTTGCAGAAACATGACACGATGGAGTGTGAAACAATTATTTGACCATGATTTCCTGACAGACCATGAAAAGCCCTCCTACATGCCAAAATGTCAGATGCCTGCAGTAAAGTCCACAGGTTAACATGCCATGGGAATTTGTATTACCTTTAAAATAATACTGTCTCAAGCGTTCTCCTGTGAATTTAATCCTGAAGGGGAGAAGCGCTGATTAATTTCTGCATAGTCTAGTTCTTGTCCACATCACAAATGCAGAATAATTAACAAGTGTGTGAGTTAATATGAGCTCGAAATAGTTTATCCAGACCACATAAAGGTCAGAATGGAGTTCTGTCCCCAGGGCCCGCTGAGTCACTGGTATCTGCAGGAACAGACACATTTCAGCCAGACCCTTTATATTGGTTGTGCCCAAGTCTTATGCAAAATGGACTGAGACCAGTTCATTTAACATTGCTGAGGTTTAATTTAGCATTCACTTGAAACAAAATAGGTATGTAAAACTAGGCAAGGAATTAAAAGAACAACTCTTCTACAACTGCTTTACTCCAAGTAGCTTTCTATAGTTAAACTCTCATGTGGAGTCATTTGTTTCCTATATGCTCTAAGTTCTTTATACTTTCTCCACAACATTAGCTGCTTCTTTAAATACATCTATGAATGAAATATTTTTAATACCATGAGCATATAAATTATGCCATCATAAAAGTGTATCTTGCATTTCATTATACAAAGTGGAGTCTTTTGGTGCTACCAACACTAGAAAACTACTCAGATGATGCAGTATACCAGTTCACTTTCAGCTTGAAACTACAATTTTGATGTTGTCTTCAGTCTTTGGGCAAGTTTCCAAAACTGGCCCTCAAATTAGCCATGTGTAAGTGGCATTTGGATAAGCGAGCAAGATGTTAGGTTCTTGATTATTTATCTGGATTGGTGCAAGCACAGGAGAATTTGGACCGCAGAGCTCCAAGGGGCTGTTGCATGAAATGAATCTCAAATGAAAGCAAATTACTGTCCCATCAGACTAACAGGCAATACCCACCACAAGCTTAGCTCTGCCATACAGTAACCACCCTAATGGATAAGGCAAGGTTGCTAACAGATAAGTTTCTAAACATGTAGCCCAAGGGAATTATTCATAATTAAATTGGGGGATCACTCTTCAAGTGCCTACTGAATCTTCATTACATGCAAGACCTCTGCGACAGGAGCACAACAACGTTTAAAGCGATGGTGAAATAATGCAGAGGAACTGAAGAATTAAAGTAGCTACTTAATAGCACTTAAAAAGATGCCAAGACATGTTTTAGTGTCTGCTCAACAGCCAGAGATAGGCTTAAGACATCTCATTCCTCCAGTTTATTTACTGGTTTGTAATTATCTGAGTACGCTGGCTGATTCTTCAGCAATTTAACTTCCTAATAAAAGATTGGAAAAAACAAACCCATACCATCGCTGCAGATACTGAAAAAGGGATCAGATGAAACACAGAAGAAAATAAACTACTGGAGAAGTCCTACAAGGGCTGTTAGACTAGAGAACTTCAAAGTTCTCCCCATGCCTCTGTTCTGACCTTTCTGTATGCTTCAGCTGACATTTTACGACCGTCATGGCCAGCCCACAATGACAGCGCAAGAGAAAGGAACTTACTGGATACTAATATAGGTTCTGCACCTGATGCAAGACACCAAGAGTTATAGAAGCAAAGGAAATGATTTTCCAGCCCCTACCCCCTCCCAGTATAACATAGATGTGTTGGGTGCTATCTGAAATTCTTGCATTAAGCAAAACGGTAACTTCTTTAAAAGCTTTTAGAGAGCGGCATGTAGCAATTATGTGTAAATGAGTCTAGAAGAACGGTGGTTTTTCTCACGTACCGTATACAAACAGCATGTAATCCGCATGTGATTTCCCCACCGCGTTTGAAGCCTCACAGCGGTATGTACCATTATCTGTTTTGTTTAGGTTACTAATGAGAAGGTTTGAACCAGACACTACAACGTGTTGAGGCATCTCATCATCTACTCTTAACCACCTCATGTCCGTAGGCCTACAGAGGAGGGAGAAAAAGAAACAGTCACATTACTATTTTCCTATGGTAAAGATGGCATCTTCAATAGTTCATCCACAGACAGAAAGCCCAAACCAAGAAAAACTGTAAAGAAATAACACACACTTTTGTACTACTCAAGCCCAGATGCTGTTGGGCTTCCTGAATTTAAATGCATTTTAACCCAACTGGAAACTGTATCCAGACCTTAAGTTTTCTGAAAACACTAATGCAAGCAGGAAGAAAGTTCATTAGTGGTTAATCATTTACTTAATCAGTAAACCTGGAATCTTTAAGATCTATGGGCTAAGTGTGAATCCACCCGGTGCTCTGAGCGCAGATCTGGTCAACATTTGATAGAATAGGTACATTTTTATCAAGTTTGAGCCATTTCACAAAGAGACACGAGGGACCTATTTACCTCAATTTTGACTGTGTTGCTTATTCATAACATTTTAGCTGCTAGAAAATAGAAACACTTTTCTTCTCTCCCCATTATGTTTTTCCAGTTGGCAGCCTGTTTCCTGCATCCTTTTGCTAATGGAACCAAAATGAGTATCATGTTTACATGGTTTAGGGAATGAAATTAGTATGTTTTTTTAGAGCTAGTAAACAAAACACCTGCTGGGAGATTTGTTTGGTCTCCTTGTTTTTAAGTCTCTGAATAGCAGTAAGGACAAATCAGCTACTCCTGAGACAGCCTTCACCCGTAAGGGAGATACCGCACCTTTTAGGATGGCTCCACACTGAGCTTTTAAAAGGGGGAAGATGGGGGTGTTTATGCAGTAACACATTCTTCAAACTACCTAGCTCCAAGGAGGGAGCTTGCAAGCCATTTTTTGCTGGGAGCGAAGGCGGCTGAAGGTCTCAAGCTAGTCTGGGCTGCTCAGAGCGTCCAAACGGTAGAGTGCTGTTATGAAATAAAAGCACCTGCAGTTTCATTATCCCAGCCACACAACTGGAACAGCTACAACACCGAACAAAAGCAGCTGCTACCAGCTGCCTGCCACAAAGCTGACATCTGGTTTTGGGCAAGGGCTTGGTGCGCTATTCCTCGCTGTTCTCCTCTGTGAAAGGAGGATTGCTTACCCACCTCGTGGGCGGCTGCGCTGTTAACGCACAGGCCGCTGCCACATAACAAAAACTCTAGAGAGAGAGATCAGAACTGGAATTGCCGTTTAACCTCAATATTGGCAGAAAGGTTTTTGATGCTCCTGGCAAAGGTTCTCAAAAAGCTATTAGTGATTTTGGAGTCCCAAGCTTTCAGATGCTGTATTTGCTGTAGAGCGGCCCATTTTTCAAAGCTGTGTCTCACAGTGGATATTCTACAAATGACAATTCCAGTATCTTCCCATTTTTGTCATAGTTTACATTTTTTGTCTAATCTTAGGCAGTGAAAATATCTGTATTACTACGAAAATAAAAACTTCTACTTTCTGGTCTTTCACTTTTCTCTGAGCCTTTTGTCATAACGTTTGTGCTGCAAAATTTTTCAGAGAAATGATTTTAACTCTAGAATCATCCCTGTGAATCTTAAACCTCTGTAAAGGATTTTATGAAATCTGTTTGTCATAACAAGTAGAACTAAGTGCAGTCCAGTATTTTACAGTGTATTTGCTTAGGTGTTAAGAGACACAGGCAAAGTAAACTACGTAAGCGTACTCCTAGCACATCACCAGCATCACCAGAACACTAAGTGGCATACTGCCTGGGAGATGGGTCTGTCTTATTTAACAGGGATGTGTCTTATTCATAGCCTGGGGAAGGCTGGGGCGGGCGAAGAAGCCTATTTATTAAATTCCCAGATGGTACAAATGGGAGGAGCTGCAGCTACCCATGAGAGGAGAGAAATGCAAAGAGACTTTGACAGATTCTGAACAGGGAATAGATTTTAAACTGGAATTCAGCAGAGGATGTACAAGTCTCTAATGTATAGGGAAGGAATCACCTACATGCTGCATAGAAGAAGCTGGGAAGCAGTAATAAACAAAGTAATTTAGCGGAGGTAGGACACTATAGCGGCAGATGACAGTATCATAAGCCTTCTCACTTTTGAGCTGCATATACCCTTCCTGTCACTGCCCCCAGAAGTAAAACCGTCAAACTCAGTGACTTCAAGTGCAGAATACACCTGCAGTAACTCTTCAGTTCTGGGCACACTACCAAGGAGACACTGACAGTTTTCAGGGATGTTTGCAGCAATCTTATGAACATGATGAAAACAAAAAAAGGATAGGAGGTAAATACTTGACAGCCATAAATCCAAGTGGAAAAGGAAGTATTTAAGAAAGTCAAGAAAACTTAGATGAGAAAAACAATGAAAATGCTGAGGAAAAACCTAACCTCCCTCATCAGAATTTTTCCTGATGCATCACTCTATTAAACTATTTAAGAAAGCCTCAAGGGCAGGGCAAGAAGAGGAGAAAGAATAAAACTTGCATTTCATTAAAAAAAAAAAAAACACCAAAAAGAAGAAAGAATCATACAGTCAATACAAGCCAAAAGACAGACTGCCTTACCTTACAGATCCATTCCACTTTTATGTGTGTTCAATTCTTTGGTGCTATTCTTATGTCTGCATACTTGTACCTTATTAGGATTAAATATGCAGGCCATTGACCTTGCTTTTGCAGATTAATTGCAAGCAATTTCTACCCAAGCCATTCCCTGGGGGAAGAGATGTACAGTCGTCTGGCACCCATACTACAGTCTTTCCCTTCTGCACTAGCGGGCTTGCTGACAACAATGCTGTGTGGTGACCATGAAAAGCTCTTCTCAGAGCTTTAAAAGTAACAATTCCTCAGCCCTTATTTATGTCATGACAAATGAGATTCAAAATAGATGTCTTAATACTGTAACTTAGGCTCAGGTGCAGAAAGTATCACTCTTCATATTCTTTTTCATACTCTTACATTGTCTTCTCAGCAGAGAATGGCATATGAAATTTCTGCAACAGCAAAGAGGCCAAAAAGCACCCGCACACTTCTGTAGCAGGGCCCAGAGTCACTGCTGGACCACCTGTACCATCCTTTGGAAGTTTCCAACTTACTGTGGTTTTCCAAAAGCTGCACATGTCAGTTCAAGTGGCTCCCCTTCTCTTGTTAGACCTTGCACTGGATAATTCTGAGAAACCCGCACTTGAGGCTTATCTGCATGACAAAAACAGTATTTCATAAATTATCTTGTCAAACAGAATCAGATTTGTATGCACCCAAACGCAAAAGACAGTCACCAGCATTGCTTTCCTCTCTGTCCCCTCTATGCTATTTGTCTAATCAGTAAGTGAACTCGGTATTTTCTTCAAACTAAACTGATTAGTAAGAGCAAAATGTGAAAGAGAGATAGGAGATTCATACTCCAACTGAAGCACCACTGTTTCCTGGGAAATGCATTTTGCTACACCAGAGTTTATCTCTGAACTCACTCAAGCTAAAAGGAACTCATTTGCCTTCATGCTGAGGTGAAACCAGAGATATTTGTGGTGCTCAGAACTGATATGTTTTATCATGTATCATATATTACTGTATGACAATACTTTATGCCCAAGCATATTAATATGCCGGGTTTTACAAGAGTCACTTGTTAGAAACGGAAAAAGAAATCGTAGAGACCGCTGCTTTTGTTTAAACAGTGGAAGATTTTAGTTAGCCCAAATGAATCTCCTCTAAATCCTAAAACAAACATAGAATTAAAGCATTTATAGTTAGGGAGCCAGCTCAGAAATATTTTTAGTAAGCCGCTGCAGGGAAAAAGGGGAGGTTGTGGGGAACAACCCAAAACAACACCAACCCCCGCCGCCCCCCCAAAAAAACTGAAGTCCACAATTAAAAAATTCATTACCTCCTACAACTGAAACCCAGATTAAAAATGCATTTAAGCTGTAGCTAAAATGTTATCAACACAAAAAATCAATTCAATCCTACAAATGCTGTTAAGCCATATATATTTTTCATGAACTTACTCAACTATAAGAAATAAAGGAAGGCAAAAGAATCAGTATGCATAAAGGTTGAAACAATTTAAATATTTCTATTTCCACTGAGAGTAACTGCTAGCAAAACTATCGGCTTGTTGCATTTTATTAACTGTGTTTTAACTCATTAACATGCTTCCTATGGAATAATAGAGATTAGAAGAAAAAATCCATGTCAGGCTTTAACCAATTTAAACTCTCATAATTTTCAGTAATGGAATAAGCTACGCTAGTAAATCCTCTCCTGAGATGACTATACCACAAACACATTTTATAAACTAATCCCCATTACAGATGCTTCTTGCAGCTTCATGTCTTCAGGCTTAAAAAATGGCAGCCACACACATATTACCACATACATGCATATAATAAGCGTGTATGTTATATCTGAGTCATATTCTACTGGAAAAACATGAGACTTTCACGTGCTTGAAAACGCAAGCTGACCTCCCCTTCTAGCGATGCTGCTTAATGCTTAGAACATGCTAAAGAAGTATGTGGACGTAACCGATATGTTCCAGATGGGCTTTGAGAAAAAAGGGTCAGTCTTAGGAGGGCTGAAATACCCACCGAATGCACCTTTGAACTAAATCACAAAATGCAGGCCTGGGCCTAGTTAAATCTGGACTCTCCCATTACAGCAGGTACAGATGCCCTCTACCTGGGAAGGCCAAAAGGGTCCACATCTCAGAACTAAAACCCTGTCCAGAGGAGGCTGCAGCACAAATACATGCAAGAGAGCGCAGGAAGGCAAACGTCGTGTTAAAATACCGTGCTGAGCCTGGTCTGTAGTGGTAGGGTCTGCAGCATGAGCACTTAGCAGTACATACACGCAGGAAGAAGAGTTAAACCAAACATTTCGCAGCAAGTAAATCACAACTAAGATTTTGCATGCTATGATCATGTTTACCATCCTCATTCACAATTTTATTTTTCGCCTCGGCCATCTGCTTGCTATTATTTGCTTTCCGACAGTAACTAAGAGCCCATGCCAGAAACATGGATGCTATTGTATTGCGTGTTGCAGAAGGAGTAGAAGCCTCTTCAGCCCAATTTACACGGGAACCTGAAGACTATTTTGTTAGCATACCATACTGAGAAACTTAGATATGTGCAAGATCTTCTGCAGCTTGCCTCTTCTGTGTTGCTCCAATCCTCTTTTCATTAGATAAATTTTAGTATTCCTAATGAGCTGTTTACCAGCTGTCAATTCCTTATGCAAATCAACAGGAATACACTGAAGGTTTGTTGTATTGATAATGAACTGCAAACTAAGCAAGCTTCCCCAAAACGACATGAGATGAGCCCTTCCATTTCAGCTTTCTACCTCCACAGTCTTCATTAAACAAATGAAGAAAGCAAACTGAATCTTATACCATTTCAATTCAGAACTGTAGAGATGCCACATATGATATAAACCCATGTTTTATCAGTACAACATACATGTACTTGTGAAGACAAGAACGTTCCCAACAGAGCCATCACAGTGAACGTCTCCTCCAAGCAGGATCACCAGCATGCGAGTAATTACCGAAGGCACTTATGAAAATAGGAAGTGCTTCACAATTCTGAAGGATTCAGAAGGATGGTTGGGCACTTGGGAAAACTGACATTTTAATTAGGCTTGTAGTACGCAATAACTAATCCTTAAAAACAACAATTTCACTTGCTTTGGCCAGTAATGTTTTTTCATTTGGGGTTTTGGGATTCTTTTTTGGTTGGTTCGGCTTTTTTAAAGCATACACATTTAAATAACCTTTAGCTCTACTTCCACTAGTAAGCATCCTGCCTCAGACAAACTTGGTCTATTTTCTTGGGATTAGATTCTGTTAGCACAATGTTTGCACAATGCTGAGCATTGTGGGATGCTAAGCTCAATTCCTACATGCAATCCTGACACTTAGTAAACCTACACTGGTAAACTGTTAGACTGCTTTTCAAGGTCTGCAGTAAGAGTTTGTCACCTATTAACCACTCTATTAAAAAAAAGCCATGTTCCAGTAACGATGTCTGCGGTAGTATATTCTGGGGCAATTACTGTCTCGGATGGTGTTTGAGGGCACAAGGCAAGCAGCAGCAGAATTTTACTACCGTGTGCAGCCTGAACCACTCAACGTGGAACTTCATAATATCATACTGCTGGCTTCCTACAAAAAAATAAACACTTGGACCTAAGCATCTAGGCCACAATAAACTCCACTGGCAGCCAATTAGGTCCAGCAACCTAAAGCTATTTCCTAGTATGCCTATTTCTAGTGGCTTAGGAAAAAAAAACAAACTAGTAATTTAATAAGGCACCTTTATTAAGCTAAATTCATTCAAAAGCTAAGAGTGATATACAAGGTTAAATACTAATAGTCTAAAGGTTACTCTGTAGCAGCAACCAATTTGAAAAACTTATTACAAAACCATTCTGCATTTGATGAGATTTCTTCTAGAACACACATATCACGTGCCTATAAAAGACACGAAAAGCAGCCTTTAAAGAGGTGATAGCTGAGGTTGCTCTTTGCCCCACTGGCCAATTATGGTGTACGTGAGCCAACCTCTCACCCACTCACAGCCTTTCACCCACTCCAAGTCAGCTGGAAAATGAAAAACGCTCCTTCTCCCCTTCTCAACCTCACAACCTATACTTTAATTTCCCAAGCAACTGAAGCGCTAAAGACTCCATTGGCTGGTGCATCACACTGAAATGTTAAACCTGTCCCACACTGGACAGCGCATCTCCCCTCCTGATTTCAGCACCACGCCTGGGGCTACATACTCCATCAGAAGAGCCTTCCTCTCCTGGCTGGACCTGGAGCTTCAGGTCTACCTTGAGAACAGGGTCAGCAGCACCATTTTGGCAGACAGCCACAGCAGGACTTCTCCTTCAGATGATCAGCAAACACCAAGAAACGGACTGTCCCCCTTGCCATCACAAAAGAGCTCAGAAGACACTGGTACCTTTCAAAAGTTTAAGGGGGAGAAGCTAGAGCCTGCTAGATCACTATTCCTCTGTTACGTTACCTAATAATAAATACACAATATCCCTATACCATGATATTATTCCATCACGCTGACAACACCCAAAGCCTCGTATTTCAGCCAGGCTCCACGTTAAGCCTAATCGTCTGTGATCAGCTAATGCACAAATAGGACATCCTATCTTAACATGATGCTGGGAGAGAGAGAACCTATTACCTCCCTAAAGTTTGTTGCAATCATCTGTCTAAGATATGTCTTCTTTTCCATTTGATCTCATCCAATTTAACTTTTGGCCATAGATTTCTATTATGCCTTCCACTGCTAGATTACAGATCCCTTTCGTACTCAGTAGGCTCTCCCCATGGCTGTCCTGCTATCGTGTGAACAAGTCACTTCAATCCTTTTTGGTAGGATAGGTTTGGACTGAGCTTGCCAAATCTGAAGCATTTCTTCAATTGGCAAGAGGCTTTCTTGCAACTCAGCTGACTCCTAACCTTTGCCAGGCGCCAAAGGCAACAAACTACCGGGCCTTTCCTGGATGACAAGAGCCTCCCTGCCGAGGTCAGGGCGCAGCACAGAACACAGGACCACGGTACATGGCTAGTCTGGTTTGTACTGCCGGACTGTTTGCCAACTGAGAAAATTACAAAATGGATTCACTCAACGATTCAGCTGAAAACTCTTGTCTGTTTTGTGAAATTGGTTATTGAATCCAAGTCTTAAAATCCATTTTTATAATTACTGTATTAATTTCTAGTGCGCACCTCTGCAAAAATTACAACAGATGGTATACTCAAGAGAAGGTATTTCCAGGTCAACAAGAGTTTTTGCCCCCTTTAGTTAATTTTAGCCTCAGTACCAGCCAGGATATAATTTATACATCCTTCTTCAGACAGGCACAAACTTTTACACAGATCCTCATCTCTGCTTTGTTCTATGGTCCAAACTAGCATGCTCTTTGCTTCAAAAAGTAACAGTGATAAACTTTTCAAAAAATCCAGACTTCCGGCAGTTTCTGCATCTTACCACGGTTACATGCTACAGAAAGTTCAAAAGGGATATTTTTTCGACTATTAAAAAAAGTCAGAGAAGTTAACATTTATACACAGGTTATTATACAACTGTCACCTTTATCCTAAAATCAAGTAGGTTTGCTTATCAGGAAATGAAGTCTGCATCAGAGACAGCAGAGAACTGACAATCTAA